GGTGTGACGGTGGGTGGAGGCCCTCTTCCCGCTCCATATTACCTCTTCCTGCTGCAGCTGCCAAGGCCATGGGCTACTCCCTCCTATGACATTCCTTAGGAGAGTTAAGATTTCATTTGGCTGTTTTTCTGAGCTCCCTTCTTCCTTCCACAATCTGTCCAGACCACTGTAGACTTTGTTTCCGGAAGCAGTGACCACCAATTTCTCATGAGATCTCCACTTTTCAAAGCCATCTTCAGCAATGTCTTCTCCTCAGCACAATCCAAGTCCAACCGCGAGACATCCTCTCACTCAGCCTGGGCCCCTCTGGCTTCCTCCAGGTCCAAGATGGGGTGGAAGAGGCTCAGTCCAGCCAGCCCTCCCCCCTGTCAGAATCCACTGTCCCCAGGGGAACCACCTAGTGCTCAGGTCTGCCCCTCCCCCTGCACACAAAGGGCACTGGATATGTGGCCTCTGAGGCTCCTGCCAGTCCAGACAGTTCCTTCTTTCTCAAGCCCCCTGGCAATCCGGATGACTGAACTCAGCCGTGTGACCCCCCCATACCTGCCTCCCAGTGCAGCCCAGGAGCAAGCCCAGGCTGTGCCAGGCCCAGGGTTGCCCCCTCCCCCAGGCATGGCTCTGCCACTGGCATAGGTGCCACCCTTCTCTTTGGAGCCATCACTGGGAATGGCTGGAGTCAGCAGGAGATTAATTAATCAAAACCTGAACACATCTGCTGTCGATTAATTCTGTGCCAAGGGCTAACTCTTCCCTTTCTGGACTTTCCTTTCCTTTGGCGGGAATAGGGAAATAGTGGTGGGGAGTTGGTACCCCCTTCCTTCCTCCCCTTATTGAGAAGCATGAATGCGGGAGAGAAAAAGGAAATGCCCCCGGAGGGCGGGGGAGCATCAACTATTTGGGTGCTTCGCAGGGGGTTCTGGGGAGTACTTTTCAGAATCGTGGTCTTTGCTGAGAGTCCCGAGGAAATCTGAGATGAACAAATACCTTTATTTACAGCAACAAACAGAACGGACCCTCCCTCCATTCCCTCCCTCTCCCCTTCCAGTCTTTTCTATGCCGGTCCCCCTCCCGC